TGAGTTTTCTTTCTCACCTCCATCCTTAGTGCGAGATCTCCTACATGTATGTGAGCCTAACAAAGAGAAAATAGACAAACACAAAGAGAAATTAGACAACTGGCCACATACACTACGCTACAATTGGTGGCCCACGGAGTGACGCACTCAAACAAGGATGGATGAGAAACGGATCTCTCTTCCAGTCTTCGACCACAACATCGAGGAATGGATAATTCATGTGGAGGCAGCTCTCACCGGCTCAACAGTTAAAGACGAGCAAAAGTACTTTGCCCTGGTCTGTTCCTTGCCCACAGAAGTCGCCACACAAGTCTCAGAAGTCATCACCAACCCTCCAGCTGACAACAAATTCGCAGCTCTACGAGATGCTCTGAAGAGGCGATACCAGTGGCCTGGCGCCAGTCTTATGCAAGACCTATCAAGTCTACCCTTCGGCAACTCAACGCCTGCCCATCTCTGGGACGAGATGCGTAGACTGAACTCCCGCCACAGACAGGCTTCTTGACACTGTCCTGCACCAGCTTCACGCCCTGAAGCTCTCCGCAGAAGTTTGCCTCGCCCTGTCCGCACTGGACTACTCTACAACCTGGCAGCCTATGCAGCCACAGCAGACAGAGTATTCCATGAATACACTACTGTGCGCCATGCTGCCGCGGACAACTCAGCGGCCACACCGTCACTTACCTACGATCTTGTCAACCACCTCAACTCAATTACAGTGCCTTTCATCGAGAGCTCCTGGCCATATATCTTGCTGTCAAGCATTTCCAGCACTTCCTCAAGGCCCATCAGTTCACCATCTTCACTGATCACAAGCCCCTCGTCCACGCCTTCACTTCAGCCTCCCAGACACATACACTTCGTGTTCTTCGCCACTTGGCTTACATCTCGGAGTTCACCAGCGGCATCCAACACATCAAGGGTAGCCACAACGAGATCGCCGACACCCTCTCTCGTTGTATATGCAGCATTCTTCACTCATCTCCACGCATGGATTACAGGCAGCTTGCCATAGCGCAAGAGAACAACGAAGACCTTGCAGCATACAAGACGTCTCCCTCAGGTCTCGCCCTCCAAGAACTCCCCGTTCCCGGCACGAACATCAAGTTGTGGTGAGACATGTCCTGTGGGCAGCCTAGACCAGGGGTGTCAAACTCATCTGGCCCAAGGCGGGCCAGATATAATAAGAGTACACAGTATGCGGGCCAAGTAACATAATTATGAGCACTTCGCAATCACCTCTTAGGTGAGTAGTTAGACAAAATAAGAAAGGTGGATTTAGTCTGCGCTCTTGCGAAACCCTTAAAAACAAACAAACAAATCAAGTGTTTACTTACCTTGATCAATCTTATTGTTTGCTACTCCTGCTTCCTGATAATTGGCACCTCTTGGTATGGACCAGTGCATCAAAGTTTGGCACTAACGACTGAGCTGTAGCAACCTTCAGTATTGAATTAAGGTGCACATCAGTAAGTTGAGACCGAAACCGAGACTTGTTCAAGTTCATCACTGAAAAGAGTTGTTCACAGACATATGTACTTCCAAACATTGACATAATCTTTGAGGCAAAACATTTAACCCTGGGATAATTTGGTCCAAAATATTGATAAAATGTGTCAACATCAACACTCGAAAAGTTTTTCCTCAACACAGAATCACACTGGAGCTCAATTAATTCTAACTGAAGATGTTCTGGCACCTCATTAACACAACAGAGAATGGGTCCCGAAAAATGAAAAAATCCTTCTCAAGTCTTTTAAAGTCAGCAAATCTTTCTTGGAACTCATTCATTAATTTGGAAATCTTGATGCAGTACTTTTTTGTGTTAATATTAGCATGAAGCTCAGGTGTGCCTTGCAGGGACTTCAAGGTCGGAAAGTGAGAAAGATTACTCTGACAGTGCCGGATTTAGACCTGTGGAGGCCCATGGGCAGCCTCTTTGTGGAGGCCCCCCTCATTATAACTACCCAAGAGGGTAGGGTGGCGAATGAGTGAGCCTAAACATCTGGGAGTTCCGGGGGGCGCTGTAAGCCCCCCGGGAAAATTTTGAAATTTGAACACTTCTTTGGAGAATTTTGAAGCCATATGCAGTTATATTGAGGAAATTTCAACATTGAGAAATTTTTAATTAACTGTATATTTATTGATAGTGTAAAAATTCCCAACACTCACACATACAAAAGTGAGACATGACTGGAGTCATTCATGTGGTTTCAAGTCGACCAGCCCTGATATAGCTACTACCGCACATGTCAAAAATTTTCAAGAGACTTCACAGAAAAGAATATATTATTAGTTATTAGTTATTTTAAGGAGTAGCTAGCCTAATTTCTATCACGCTGTAGTGGATTTCTCCCCTACAAACGCTGTTTGTTGCCGAGTAGCCGACCCCGCGAATTCCACAGTGTGTGCCTCGTGGTCTGGGTCAACCAGCGCCGCCATACATCACGGAGGTCAACTACTAAGCCACGCCTACCCCTGCTATTTAAGACCTGACCTCGTGGTGATCTCTCTCTTTCTACCTACACCAACCAGCCAGCAACACCTCCTCCTCCGCCTGCCTGGCGGTCCTCGCTCCCGCCGGCGAGCATGGTGACCCACAAGCTGTCCTCCTCTGAGCACCCTCACCAACCAGCTCTCTCTACATCACGCTTGTAACCATGCTGCCTTCCCAGCACCAAGCTGCATTGTACATCCAATACAACATGTATACAGAGAGCACATTGTGAGTTTCCTTTCTCCGTCCCATCCTGAGTCCGAACACAAACCCATACCTCCACAAATGGTGACCCCCGGAGATTCGCACTCACACAGGATGGAGGAGAAACATCACGCTCCCAGTCTTCAAGCAACATGGAAGACTGGCTTATCCACCCAGAAGCAGCTCTCATCGGCTCTACAGCTACTGTCTCTAAACCGCAGGTTAGACACCCTAGAGCAGCTCTGCTACTCTAAGCAGACAGCCGCTCCTATTCCTGCCCCAAGCACCACGTCCTACCGACCCCAACACACCCGTCCTGCCGCAGACGGCGTTCCGGCCCAGCAGTACCCCCTGCCGCTCCTCCTGACGCGGACCCACACACCCCTCTTTTCTCCCTCAGGTACTCCCTGCTACTGTCCTGCACCCTGCTACTGTCGTGGACCCAGCTGCTGTCACGAGCCCTCATCCACTTCTGCTGACGCAGCCCTTGCTCCTGACCCAGGCCCACACACCCCAGCAGGCGCATCTTACGACTCTGTGCCTGTCGCGAGGGAAGCACAACATTCATCGCCTCCACAACCCTCCTCCCTCTTTTCTCCCACAGATCTCGTGTATCTAGACAGAGGTGCCCCCCCCCCCTAGCGGTCGGCTCATCCACGCCCTCGCCGTTATGTCCCACATGTGGCATGCAACTCTGCCAACCTCCAGCCTCCCGCCGCGCCCGGAAGGGAAGGGGAGTATTGTAGTGGATTCCTCCCCTACAAGCACCAACCTTCTCGAATTCCCCAGCCTACGCCTCCAGCGCCGCCCACGGAGCGGGGGTCAACTATCTACCCACGCCTACCCCCGCCTTATAAGGCCTGACACCGCTGTGACCACTCTCTTTCTACACAGTGCCACCAGCAAGCAACACCACCTCCTCCGCGCCAGCCTTGCGGCTGCCGCCCCCGTCAGCGACCTTGGCGTCCCTCAAGCCGCGTGCTCTCACTCTGGGCACCCTCACCACCCAGCTCTCTCTACTCAACGCTTATTACCATGCTACCTACCCAGCAACAAGCTGCATTGTACATCCAATACAATATGTATACAGTGAGCACATTGTGAGTTTTCTTTCTCCATCCCATCCTGAGTGTGAACAAATATCTCATACCCCTACAAGCACACCACATGTCCCGCTCCAGCAAGACGAAGAAATATGCAGCTTGTGGAGGCACACACTCCTCGCCAAGTTGCGATACAAGAAGAAACAGTTACAAGGAGGCTATCCTTATAGTTAAGAAGCAATAAAGAAGAGACAAGAAAACAAAGAAATAAACGAAGTTAAGAAAGTCGAACATTTGTAAGGGAGGTCAAATGTGGACAGTCCAGAAAAATAAAAAGAACAAAAGGGATTGAACGAGAACACAAATATAACAAGACTATGGCCGTAATGACTTTAAGTGTTGACGGTCAGTAGAGTAAATCAAGCAAGCAAGCAAAGCTGCTGTCAATATATGGCGGCCATATTGAGAATTTAGTCATAATGACGTCATATCCAGCACAGTAATGCTAATTCTTTGAACTTTTTTTTTGTAATCTATACTTACACGATAGTCTTGGCAATTTTACCCACTGTCATAATCTGGACTTAAGTAAAAGTAAGAGGCTCCTCGACGATCCACCACTTTCCATGATTATTTTTTATATAAACTATGCCAGAAATTCTTGTTTTACCGATATAGTTTAATATTCTAAGTTTGTGAACATTGTGCAAATATTGATCTAATATTTACAAGAATACGCTCTGAATTTCTATTCGCGACGAAACATATAGTTATTTGGGCTATCATGCCAATAATCTGTAACCTATAATGCTATAAAACGTCATTAATTTCGTTGTCAGCAAATAATTTTTTACATGACGAAAGCCAGATATGTCCCCCAGCATGTATACTGTACATGAAAACTTAATATTTTTTTTTACCTTTGGTGTTAGTAGAGAATATCTACCACAGTTGAAGTGCCCTTTATCCTCTCAACGCTGCAGTGGGATCTTCCGTTTTCCAGTAAATTTGGATTTTTACATAATTTACGTATGAAAAAAGGGGGAAAATAAATAAATCGGCTCAATTACGTGACTTACACTTTTTTCCGTAAACATCTCAAATATAAATTAGAACCATCGTTTTTGTTAGTGTCAGTGAGGATAATCTTGTTCCCAAAATGCTGGCGGACACTTGTTGCTCCTTCCTCCATCATTGTCTCCGCTATATTCCTCCGTAAGTTGAGTTTCTGTCGTTATCTACCTCTTCAAAAGACCTCAGAGGAATTAAATTAGCTCTTTTAGAAAAAATGTGGGCGTTTTCAACAAAGTTTAGCTTGTTTTGAGAAACTTTGTAATCAGCTGATCTTAGCGCGGGAAAAGCGAGTGTGAGGAGAAGGAAAATAAAAATGTCAACACTGGAGCAAATTGTTGAGGATTTTGACACTTTCGGCATCCCCCTGAAGGATAATCAGCTACAGGAGCGATGTAAGTGGAGCTCCAGAGGCCCCGTATATGTGTGTGTGTCTTTGTGTTGGTGTGAAGTGTTTGTAGTGGTAGACTTGAATTATGCCTCGTGTGTGGGTGTTTTTGGAGCTATTATATAATGGGTGACAATTTATTTGGTATTGTAAAATTAGGAGGTTAGGTTAAGTGATTTGAGAGGGAAACGTCATTGAAGAAAAGTGTCTTTGAATTTTCTAAACTATTGATTGCATATATATTATTGCTGAGATTCGGTATTAATTTAGTTTCAGTCAACCAGGAAATTGGTTAGGTAACTTACCTTAGGTTAGTTTTGATATCTAAATACAGGGATGACCGATACTAAAATTTTACAAGATTTGGTTGATGGCAACTTACACAAATTTACTCAGTATTTAAGGTTTCTATGTCTAGCTATATGTTGAGGCAAAAGATCTCCACTGGCTTATTGGGTTAGCAAGAGCTTACCGGTAATGTCTGAGAACCACACAACCACTTGGAGTTGTTCGTTTTTGTTAATTTTTTCCACATGTTCTTGTGATAGTGTTTTGGTAATTATTGATGACCGTCCCACCGCCGTAGTGGACACTGTCATAGTTTGTGCAAATGTGTTAAAAAGTGGTTATTTCTAAATTAAACCTAACCTAACTTGAGTTGATAAGAAAAAACTAGCAGCAGAAGCATTGTTGGACTACCTCGCCAACCTAACCAAAGAAACCTACTTAACTTTCTAGCTGTGGTGCTCCACTTTCCGGAACCCCTGGTATATTCAATGAAAAGAGGTGTAATTTTACGTTTTTTGTGGACGTGAGAACAGCCGCCCTGACCAAACGGTTCATAAGCATACACTGAGCAACGGCGTTGACCTGGCCCCCGGCGGCAGTGTTTTGAAATACGTCATTATGATTGGCTGTTTACATTCGGGATAAAGCAACACCACTGAGAGAGAGAAAATAGTGTGCGCCTAGGCACTACATTGTCTACCAAATGAAGCATTTGCACAAGAAATGATTATCATATCAGAACTCTGATGAAAATATGGTAAAGTAAACATAAACACAAATGATGCGTCGGTGGGCAAGTCATCAATATTAACTAATCATTAAAAAAAAAGGTAACATTAATAGAACCTAATAGAACCTGACCTAACCAACCAAAAAACTTGCCTAACCTTACCTAATTTCCTAGCTGGAGGAACTCCTGCCATATTAAACAAAAAATACTTATTTTGATATCTGGTACCAATGAAAGCAACTTTGTTGAAACGTCATGGTGTAATTTATTTTATTTTTTTTTTAATGTCAGTGTATGCTCAGATTGGGCGGGTCGGTTGTAAACAACCAGATGGCATGTTGTGACTCGGCAGATTTTCGGAGAAATATTTACGGTAAATAAATAATATTTTCATGTACAAAGTACGGACATTATTTTAGTGTCATGATAATTTTTTTACCGTGTATTAGCCTGAAATTTCCCTCATCCTTCATGCTCTGCCCATTACAGGTGATTTATGATCATAAAGAAAAACTAAAAAAAAAAAAAAAATAAAAAGTTGTCTGAAAAAAACTTATATTGATAAGAACATATGGAAAAAATGAACACTTAAACAATTCTTGTTGGTAGTGCTATTCTCAGAAATGGCTAATATTGATGATTAACCCACTGATGCATTACATGTTTTGATTTTTATAATTTAAAATATTTTCGTCAGTGAATTCTGATATGATAATCATTTTTGGTATTTTAGTTGTGTACAACCATCCCATTTGGGGATTTTAGCATTTGCAATCTATAGATCTAATAAATCTTTGACTTTCTTACTATGACATGTACCTCGTAAGTGTCAAATAATGGTGATACTGGATGTGTTTTATTCTCTTATTATCACATACGGGAGCACCTGTCACTATCAAAATAAGTACTGTACTTTCTCTTTAATATGGCAGAGGGTTAGCCTCTTGGCTAGGAAGTTAGGTAAGGATAAGTAGGTTTCTTTGTTTGGTTAGGTCAGGTTCTATTGGGTTCATTATTATTCACTCACGACAAAAGTGTATAGAATAAAAGTTAGTCAGAAGGATGAGATATATTGACTGCTTGTGTTAAAAATCCCCGATTCCATGATTGTACGAAACTAAAATTTTGCCTTGTGTTTTAGGAAATTACTGCCTTTAGTAGATAATTAGGTGACTAGGCGTGCACTTCTTTGTCTGTTGTGATGCAGCTGTACACAGCCAATCATCTCCGATCAACATGAGTTGCTAGTGTATGTTTATGAGCCACACTGACCGGGCATCTGCTCTCACATCCACAAAAAAAACATACTTACTCCATATAAGAACATAAGAATGGAGGAAACTGCCCATACTGGGCTGTCCCATTTACACCCAACCCCTATCGCTCATATATCCATCCAACCTATGTTTGAAGCTATCCAGTGTATTTGACTTAATGATGATGTTTGGTAACTTGTTCCATTAATCCACTACTCTATTTCCAAACCAATGTTTACCTATATCGTGCCTAAATCTAAATTTGTCTAATTTAAAGCCATTGTTATGAGTTTGCTCCTGATGGATAGTTTGAGTACCTTTCTTATATCACCTTTGTTTAGCCCTGACTTCCATTTATACACCTCTATCATATTGTCCCTCACTCTACGTCTCTTGAGGGAGTGCAAATTAAGATGCTTTAGCCTGTCTCTGTACTCAAGGTTCCTAATGCCTGGGATTAGTCTTGTCATTCTCCTTTGAATTCTTTCCAAAGATTCGATATCCATTCTGTAATACGGTGACCAGAATTGAACTGCGTAATCCAAGTGAGGTCTCACAAGCGCGAGATATAGTTTTAGGATAACCTCTCTAGTCTTGTAACTAACACTCCTTTGTATGAACCCAAGTACTCTATTAGCCTTGTTTCGAGCAAATACACATTGTTTACTTGGCTTAAGATTCCTACTTATCATTACTTTATTAGCCTTTATTTAGTACTTTATTAGACTTTCTCACATTCGAATTTCTCTATAACATCGTTGTTCATCTGATATCTGATTTCTCAGTTTACATCTTCTAGACCAGTGGTTCTCAACCTTTTTCACTCCATTCCCCCCTTGAGGAATTTTCAACACCTTCGTGGCCTCCTTCATTTTTCTCCCAAACCCCCTGACAAATAATGTTGAAAAATAAAATGCAGATGAAGAGAATACCCTTATTTTATTTCAAGGTTGACAATCATCATTATCTTATATTTTGATAGACTTACATGATTTACATAACTGACGTCACTAGATTATAGTGACTACTAGCCAAGCCTCACAGCAAACTTGAATTTGGTTGAGAAAAAGTTCATATGACCTCTGCATATTTTGTCGCAGCCCAATGGGAAGGCTGACATTGTTTCCTTTCAGTCAGGTGACTGATCCGAGGTTGTGTCACTGACAATGCACATCTCATGTCCGGGTCCACATCCAGTCGGTTCCGGCTTTTACTCTTTATATGTAGAAGGGTGGAGAAACCAGATTCGCATAAATAGGTAGTTGAAAAGGGCAAGAGGACTCGAAGTGCAATCTCGCTAACTTTTGGATATGACTGATACATTGAGCACCAGAATACAGTCAGTGATCTTTCTTCATAGAGATCTTTGGCAGCAGAATCATTCTGCAGGTCAAGAAATTCGTCCTGAACATCATTGGGAATGGTAGCAATATCAATAGTGCCAGAGAAAGGATTCCTCACCAATTTCCCGTCTTCCTCCTCGAATTCTGGAAAATACTTTTTGAGCTCACTTTCCAAGGATTTCAGGTGCTGATTGATTTCAGTTTTGAGTGATGGGTCAAGCAGATGATCTTCATTCTCATCAAGAACAGTTGAAAGATTCTCAAACATTTCCTGTATTGACTTTCCTTTGCCAATTCTGGAGCTTGGCAAGAAATGCACGAAGACAATCCATGAGGTGAAACACATTTCTTTCCTTGCCCTGCAGCTTGAGATTCAGCCTGTTTAGCTGCTCAAATATATCTGCTAAATATGCAAGACGTGGCTCCCACAACACCTCATTGAAGTGACTTAATAGATCATCTTTCCCTTGCACTTCCAGGAACAACTTAAGCTCTCCCCGAAGTTCAAACACTCGATTCACAACATTGCCCTTGGAAAGCCAGCGCACTTTGGAATAAAAGGGGAGGGCTTCATGCTCTGAATCCTTGTCTCTATAAAGGTTCTGGAAAAAGCGAGAGTTCAGATCTCCAGCTTTCACAAAGTTGACACATTTGGCCACTGCCTCCAGGATCTTGCAAAGTTCATCAGGGAGAGTTTTCGACGCCAGTTCAAAACGATGGATCATACAATGGATCCCCTTGGTATTCAGAGCTACTTCCTTGACACGCTTCTGGAACCCCGATTTTGATCCTAGCATCGCCGGAGCCCCATCCGTACAGACTCCACAACAATTTTCCCAGCTGATTCTGTTAGCTGTGGAGAAAGAAGACACACGGACACGTACTGAACAAGTCAGTTCAGCAGCTCGGTCCAGCGCCTGTCGCACAGACAGGACCTGTGAAATTTTAAATAATCCGTAAAAAAATAAAAAAAATTAGTACCTGAGTACCGTATGTAAATTTTAAAATTGTATTGTCGTTATGATTAAACAAAATGACAAAAAAAGAATGAAATTCTCTTCTGCCAAGTCAAAATAAGTAATACAAATTTTTGCCGTGGATCCCTTGGGGGTCATGGCCCCCAGGTTGAGAACAACTGTCCTAGACTGATTACTTTACATTTGTCCACATTGAATTTCATCTGCCATTTTTCAGACCATTCAAAATTTTTTTTTAGATCTTACTGTAGTTTTGCGGTGCCCTCGTCATTTAATTGTACGCCCTATTTTAAAGTCATCAGCAAATTTAGTTATGTTGCTGTCTATGCCGATATCTGTCTTTTATGTATATAATAAATAATAATGGTCCAAGTACCGAGTCTTGGGGTACTCCATTAGTGATGTTATTCCAA